ATAATCATCGTATAACTGTATATAATTACTGATATTGGCCAATATTATCAGGAATAATTATCACATCTCCTATAATTTATCGATAGTTTTACTGTATTAAGAATAATAACCATTTCACTGTTGTTTATTGATAAATCTTTCAAACATTATAGACTTTAGATTCGGACACTTAACTCCATCTCGAAATAAGATTCAGGTGTCCAATTGCTGTCAGTATTATTCTCAGGAAAAGTCAATCTGATAACATGGGAATTCGGTTCAATGTTTCGAAGCTGATTCAAAGAGTGATCGGACAGCTACTAAACATCATAAATATTCGTTTCAATGTTTCGAAGCCGTATCAAGCATGTTTCGAAAAGCCTCTTAATCTTTATGGCTAATCGTTTCAGTGTTTCGAATCAGATTAATTAAGGTTTGGAAGACGGGTTCGAAATACACCTCTATAAAAATATTATTGTTTGACTCACCCGCCACTGTACGACTCACCAAGACACCAACAAACCGCGCGAATAAATAATTGAGTCACGTCTTGTATAACTTCCCATATTTCATCCTTATTATTCATTACTGTTAAGTCATTCAATAATTACAAGCGGGAAACTACGAGTAAATTATAACTTGTTGACGTAATGAAGATTGATTTATATTTTTCCATCTCTGTTTTTCACTCATTTTCGTTATTTTTTTAAGGGAATTGTATTTTTTTTGCGTCTCTCGAAAATGTATTCAGTTTTCATTCATATTCGTCACTTTTTTAATAGAATTTCTCGTTTATTTTAGTCTACAGAAGATATCCCCAGTTGTCTGTAACTTTACGTTAACTCGGTATTACTTCCGTCTATGACAAAGGCGTAGGAGACATAAATTAAAGGTCCGTCTCACGTCACTGAGTCAAAGAACATCGACTTGTCACGAACATTTGGTGTATCATGTCTACTGGTGTGTCCTATCAAGCAGCATGTGGGAATAGGGAACGGGGGTGTATTTTTTGTTTATTTTTTTTTATTCGATGTATTTTGATTTTTTTGTATAATATATTTTGGTTGATGAATTATTTGGTTATGAAGTTATAGGCCTTTATGATTTTTTAATGTGACAGTATGGATATATAGACACACACACATACACACAAATACATAGCCTACACACACACACACACACACACACACACACACTATACTTCCTATAACCTCATCTAAAACACACAAAAATTAATGTTTTTCTGGGTATTTTCTGACATCCAGGAAATCCATTGAGGACTTTCCTTCTTAGTTCTTTGATGAGTTGATCTTACAAGTCCTGTTCCCTGTTCCTCCTCGTGTTTACCATCGCCAGCCATAACACCTCGTAAAGTGTGTTCAAAATCCTGTCTACTCTCTCCTTCCCCGTGTCCTTCCTTCCCTGCGACTATTAAGTATTGAATAGCCATAAGTTTTGTTTACATTTTGTTATTCAGTCGTGGCGTTTAACATACATGATTTTACTTTGATTATTTATTTAGACTAATTTATGAACAGGTGTAAAGTAATGCTTATTAGTTACCAGGTGTTTGGTCTTCCTTCCCGTGTTGTAAAGTATTGAACCTCGCCTATATAGGGGGTTTACCGAGACGATTATTTTGAGTAGCGTTCTCAGTCCTCCTTCCTTCCTCAGCCATATCATTGCTGCTTCTTATTCTATAGATCTACCTAAATGTTGAAGTCGAATCACGTGAAGATTAGGCACCCCAGATCATTTCGTCTGGGGGATTAAACGCCCCAATTCTAATCTAACGTAACCTAAACTACCCTAAACTAACCTAACCTAATTTAACCTAATCTAATCTAACCTGACCAAGCCTAATCTAAACGAACCTAACCTATTGTAATCTAACCTACCCTAACCTAACCCCACCCCACCAGGTAGTTATAGGGGGTTTGATCATCAGGTGAAAAAACTAAAAGAAGGCCACTGTTCACGTGTTTCTTGAAGTCTTTGGATAATGGGATCTTATAAACATGACTTTACTACATCCTTTCTACATGGGGATCACTTCAACATGCTCACCTCACTCCTGACATGACCAGAAGATTGTTTACTTTTTATTGATGAGTAAATTTGATTTTTTCTTTCTTTCGATTATTATATAGAATTAAAGGAATGTATTACATCGTGTTACTTTATATATTGTGACAAGTGGTGGTGGATATATATATATATATATATATATATATATATATATATATATATATATATATATATATATATATATATATATATATATATATTAGATGATGATATTCGTAATTACATGTCTGTACAACCTGTCGTGTGTGTGTGTGTAATAATAATAATAATAATAATTGACGGTTTATTGAAAACGTTCTGCAGCCCGAAGGCTGAAAATATACATTGGACATAAATGACTTATTACATACATTGGTGGTTTAACAAAATCCTTCATTAGAGAAAGGTGTGTGTGTGTGTGTGTGTGTGTGTGTGTGTGTGTGTGTGTGTGTGTGTGTGTGTGTGTGCGCGCGCGTTCCTCCGCTAACCGACATAGAACTGTCATCTCTCACAGTTGATTTATGGTCACACAGTCACAGCCACACCCTTGTGAGTCAGGCTGTTGGGTTTAATTTACACACACACACACACACACACACACGTAGAAAGCGATTCCAATACCCTCACTCCCGTTCCCGAACACGAGGGTAATGAACCAAGATTTCACTGAAAGTATTTATAGAGAGAGACACAGACAGAGATCCAAAGGGACAAAGACAGACACACACACACACACACACACACACACACACACACACACACACACACATAACGTGGGTGGATGTGTGTGTGTGTGTGTGATTGTGTGTATGTGTCACACTCAGTCACTCAACAAGTAAATCATTAATTAGCAAAAAAAAATCATTATTTAATTATTATACAATTTAACTAATAAGATACTAACTTAATTATTATTTAACAATAAAATAGTTATAATGATTGTACAGTAGTCCCCTCAAAAATAAGTTGATATATAAAAATTATAATAAAATAAAATGATAATAATAATAATAATAATAATAATGATAGCGATAATAATTACGTTCATAATAATAATAATAATAATAATAATAACAATATAAATAATTAAAAAAAAAAAAAAAAATAATAATAAATAAAAATAATAAAAATAATATTAATAACCAGTAATAAGTAAAAAATACTTAACTTTGAGAGCAAAATCAACTTCAGTCAATTTATTTACACAAAAATCAATTGTGAGTCCAGGTACAATAAGGTAAGTTGAAGTCCAGGTACAGGTGTTATTACAGGTATGATTATGAGTACATACACAGGTTTAAGTACAGGTACAGGTACAGGTATATATATTTCGAGGTACAGATGTCAGTTGGGGTACAGACAATGGTGTAAGAACATGACTAATGAAGTACAGGTAAAAAACACAGGTGCGAGGACAGGTGAAAGTACAGCAGATCAAACACAGACAAAGATACAGACATATGTTACATCATAGGTACATTACTGAGACAGACGCAGGTACAGGCACAGTACAGTAACTCACAGACAGGTAGAGGCAAAATAACACGTAAATAATGAGGTGTTGATAGTGTGTTGTAACTCAAGATGAAGATAATGGTGTCAAAGATTAAGTAGAGAGAGAGAGAGAGAATGGGTTAAGCTTTGTAAAGAGAGAGAGAGAAAGAGAGAGATAGAGTGGGTTAAGCACTGCAAAGAGAGAGAGAGAGAGGATTAGACATTAAAAAAGAAAGAAAGAGAGAGAGAGAGAGAGAGAGAGAGGGAGGAGATAGATGGAATGAGAGAGAATGGGTTAAGCACTGTAACGAAATAGAGAGAGAGATAGAGAATGAGAGAGAGAGAGAGAGAGAGAGAGAGAGAGAGAGAGACAAAAAAAAACTGGTTTCTCGGTGAACTGGTCAGAGGGGGGTGAGGGAGGGGGAGAGATGAGAGATTATCCCTAGGAGTAAATTATGTAAAAGTTAATAATAATCACAGAGAGACGCGCAACACCCCGCGGGAAAAAAAGAAAAAAAAAAGAGGACCTTAATTTTGATCAAAGAAAATTGGGAAGACTTAAAGGTTGACGCGATGTAAACAAACCCCTGAATATCTCTCCTGTCTCTTCTCTCTCTGTCTCCTATCTCTCTTCTGTCTCTCTGTAGCAACACACATTTAAATTACAGAATTAAAGACTTACCGTCCATGTCCCCGATGATGAGGAATTAACACACACTAAATAAAATAAATAAATAAAGGAAATAATGATAAAGATAAGAAAGAAAATGAACCGTAGAGAGAGAGAGAGAGAATGAAGATTATAGTGACTTATGAAAACCTAAGAGGCGATGCTTCCAGACGGTGGCGCTCATTATATATTCAAAAGGCAAGGTTACGTATAAAGGCAGGTACCCATCTCGCTAGGCGGTGTTGGGTGGGAGAGTCCCCTTAAATGGACAGGCTTGCATGGAACCGCTTCTGTGTTACGTTTTGATGAAAAGAGCAAAGAGTCTCTGATACATTCCCAGTCAAAAGCTTAGAGCCACGCCTACCCCGCCGTCAAGCTGCCAGGTTCCTCCGGAGAGATTTGTTGACCGATTTCTCCACCCGAGTTGAATTTGTGTCCGTGGTTATGTCGCCGTGTCACTGATAGAAAATATAACTGTTTACTAGTTCGGGGAAATTGGATTACCGTGGCTTGATTAACAATTAATATAATGAAGATCTGTTGGAGAACTTGCCACGCCGAAGCAACAAAGGCTGACTACAGGGGCGGAGCTTAAACTAGTCGTAAAGTTGATTGACGAGAGAAGTACACAAAGGGGCGGAGCGAGGCCAAACACAGCCACTCTGAGGGCGAGTTTTGTTTCCAAGGGGAGGAGCGTAAGCGTGATTGGCTCAGGTTATCGTGGGGGTGGAGCCTCTTGCTGTCTAGTGTGTGTACCTGTTGTAAAGGAAGTATTAAGCCTTGTCAGGAATTACATGTCAGTCTGGTGGACTTTGCCGTGAGTGTTACACGCGCGTGTATGTAACAACGTAACGGCTACATAAACTAGCCTGCCAACGCCTGCAGCGGTGTGTCGGGTGCAGCCAAGTGACAGGAGAGTGTGCGTGTGCGTGCCCTCCCACTAACCTGCGTGGACCAGCCCCGACCCACCACCCGCAGCGGCGGCGTGCTGGTTGGACCCTAGGGAGGCCCTAGCCCCTGGGCACGTCGTCCCCGTCCCAGCCCCGGGCCTCGCCACGCCCCCGTGTACCCCGCCACCCGCGCCCACATGGCCGCCGCTGCTGCCCCGCCCGTACCCGCCGTCTGACCCACATGGGCCCCGCTACACATGACATTTTTATTGTGCTTGTTGGCTGCTGCACCATGTGTGCGCCGTGCTTGTGAGGAACAGTGCTTGTGAACCTTGACGAACTGAGTCTTACCTCCGCCACACTCCATATACAGTGCCGGGGAGCCCACAGTGCCACCAAAACACGCCAGTGCCTCCTGATGGCGGGGTAAGGGCCATACACGCCCCGCACCACCAGGATCCTTGACAAGTGGCCGCCACAAGATCATGACGATGACCACGCCGCCTTACGCCCAGCCCCTTGGCTACCAGCAGACAGCCCAGTACAATGCTCCCGGCTACGGCTTCCCGCCCATGTACCCCCAGGGGTCCTACGGCTATCACATGGGGCCGTACGCGCCCGTGCAGTGCCCCTCGCCGCCCAGAGATGGTACGTACCCCAGGGTGATAGACCACCACCCTGCAGCCTTCACGTACTATAGTATGTAGCTCACCAGTTCTCTCTTGTTACCGTGTTATAGGTAGTACGTGATCACGGACGACCCCTTCCTAGCTATTAAGTACCGACCATACAGTGACGGGAGTGTTAGATGATGGCCACGGCAGAGCGACACGGACCTCAGCAGGCCCTCCCCCGCACGGCCGTGGCCATCACCGTCCTCCATCACCGTCAATAATTTTGTCTTTCCAGTGATCGACAGAGGACCAGGGGAGGGGAGGGGGTTCTTCAGGGGCGTACGTGTTATCTTTGTCTCCGGCGGCTGCTGATATCAGGAGGGAGGGGCGGAGGGAGACACGTGTACCTGTTATCAGCTGCACTGTTGACAAAGACCCGGCCTGGGGTCACTTCCCCTTAATGTACGGATCCGTTGTGTATTTCACTGATGGTTTAGTTCAACGAGTCACATGAGGTATAAACGTTATTGATATTAATAACACACACACACACACATAAACACTCACATATACACACACACACACACATAGACACAAGCATGGACATTCCGTACACACACTTACACATATACACACATAAACACTCATACACGCATATACACCCACATACACGCACACGCACACCCATCATTGACTACAGGTTCACACGGGTCTTCCTCACTAGCTAAAAAACACTCAACATTCAGTGCTAATTAATACACGAGAAACATTAGTTCCTGCCGACCATTTATTTCCACTCACTCACCTCCGCTCCCCGCCCCCCACTGCGTCCCAAACTGCTAATGAAAACGTATATATTCCCCCCCATAAATCCTCATTAAATTTGAAAATATTTTATATATACACCGGGTACTTTTATATGTATTTATATATATATACCGTTTCTCGTATCTTATATTCACTATTGGTCAATTATGGAGCGTTACGCAGCACCTTCCCGTCACGTGATTGGTTAAGGCGGACTGGGGGAGGTAGGGATGGTTGACAGTCATTTTAATGGACTGTCGTCTCTTAGTGCACTATATACAGTCACACAGTCACCTCCATCATATACCCCAGAGGCTAACTGGCTAACTGTTTTCATTCACATCTGTTTATTTTATTATTATTATTATTATTATTATTATTATTATTATTATTATTACCAGTAGTAATAGCAGTAGTAGTAGTAGCAGAGTAGTAGTAGTAGTAGTATCAGCTGTAGTAATAGTAGTAGTCGTAGTAGCCCTCATTAACACTTGGACCTGCTCCTGGTAGGCCACAGTCCACCTGGTGACTCGTTATCTCGTTATCTCTGGATGATACCACTGTGTAATCTCTCTCTCTCTCTCTCTCTCTCTTGATGTTTAATTGTTGAGAGCTGGTGTATTTACTAACGTCACATACGCCCTTAATAATCTAAAGTGTTGAGACGTAGTAATACATTATAGCATCAATATATTGTACTACTGTAACGTGTGTGTGTGTGTGTGTAAATAATAATAGTAATGATAATAATAATAATAATTAACGGTATATTGAAAAAAGTTCTGCAGCCCGAAGGCTGAAAATATACATTAGACAAAAATGACTTATTACATACAAAGACATGGGGTGGGTGGGTCGTTTAACAAAAGCTTTCATTACTTCATGAAAGGAGAAGGAACATGAATTGAACATACAAATTAATATAGTTTACAGCTGTTGGTCCGGGCTGGTCTCTTGCCATACTGTGTGAGGTCACATGGGTCTTGTGGTTCAGTAACTCGTCCGTAGGTGTTGAGATGAAGGGCCTCACGGGGTCATGGAGACACCGGGTGGTGTGGTGTTCACGTGGTGCATGTGTGGGGGGGACGAGAAAATATGTGTGTGAATGTGTTTGTGTTCAATGAGACGAGTGAGAGACAGACAGGCAGACAGACAGATAAAGAGACAGATATAGACAGAGTAACAATTGACAACAAAACAGCGAATTTAAATGGAATACAAATCACCGCAATAATCACACAGCCGTTCGCGTTCGCCTCCCGTTCTGCTGATTGCGCTATCCTTCCCACGACGTTCACGGCTGGAGCTTAACAATCATACGGATGCGTTTATCTAACCTAACCTAACCTAACACTCATAAAGGTATTTAAAATAGGTCAATTACAATTACGATCCAATTTAATGAGCTGCTGGGTCCAATTGTTCGGGGTACTATCGGGTGTTCGATTCATCTCTTACTCACTGCTATTTATTCACTTTATATTCATACAAACAGACATACATACGTCTTACACATGCTAATAATATTAGTAATATTAATGTGCAATATATAACACTAATCACTATCACTGTTGCTATTGTTACTACTACTACTACCAACACTATTTTTTATTTATTTATTTTTTTAACGTGGCCTCCAGCCTCCCCCAATAGCCACACTACTAATAATAATGAAAATATGAAATAACAATAATAATACCAATGTTAGCAGAAATCAATAATAATAATAATAATAATAATAATATTAATAAAACAACAATAATAATACAAAAATAACCAAAATAAAAACAATAACAATAAATTAATTAAAACCTTTAAAAAAAAAACATCGCTCTCAACACAAAGAAAAAACACATCCATAAGTCAGGTCAGGAAAGGCAGAAATGGGGGGTTAAATAAACACAAAAAAGACATTTACCTTCACTTCGCGTATGTGTGCAAATGTCTATAAATCCTCAACCTATTTATGGTATGATTAGTCCTCTTATTTTCATTCGTTTTTTTGGTTTTGTCCAGGACCTGCCTCTCTTGATTTGACTGGTGGATGTTGTTTGTTTATAATTTTGAGTGAGGGATTTTTTTGGGGAGGGGAGGTCACGGTACTTTGTTAACCTTTTTTCTCTCTCTCTATCTTTGTCTGTCTGTCTTTCTCTTTCTCTCTTATTTTAATTTCTATCTTTGTTTTTCTTTCTCTCTTCATCTCTCTCTATTGTCTCTTTGTAACCATAAGGAGACTAAGCACACACACACACACACACACACACACCTTCATATACAGTATGTGTGTGCTTTCCTTATGTGAAATAATCAACTGACCTGTGTGTGCGTGTGTGTGTGTGTGTGTTCTCATATTTGCCTCTCTCTCTCTCTCTCATTCTATTCCTTGAGTACCAATTGCGTATATAAGACCTTCGTTTCCCTCCTGGTCCGTATATGCGTTAACCCCACTATACTGTACGTCGCCTAATTGCGTACCTCCCCTCACTCGCGTGCATTTACCAATTTGCGTGCACCACTTTAGTTACATAAGTCAATTGTCTGCGTGCGTCCCCTCGTCCCTTGTATATGTCTATCATTTGCGTGCGTGTAATAATTGCGTGCATTTTCTCGCCCCTCCACATGCGTATATCATTTGCGGACATTAATTAATTGCATGTGCCTATTAATTGCGTTCGTCAGTTTCTTGTGTGCGTTTGTTTATTGTTTGCGTGCGTCCCCTCACATGCTTTAATTATTTGAGCGAGTGTATTTTTTGCGCGTGTTTGCAAAATACGTTCGTCTGTTAAGTGCGTGTGTCTCTTGCGTGCGTCCCCTCATCATCTGTATTCATTTATCATTTGTGTGTGACTATTATTTAGTTGTGACTTTCTTTTGCGTTTTCTTATTATCTGTGTGTGTATTACTTACGGTAGTTTTCTAAATGCGTGCGTTTATAAATTGCATTCGTCAATTATTCGCGTAGATCTATAATTTGCGTGCGTCTGTTAATTGCGTTCGTCAAATATTCGCGTATATTTATCATTCATTTGCATTAATATATAATTTCCGTGCATCTATTAACCATATGAGTTTCCTTAATTGCGTGCATCTATCATCTATATGCGTTCCCTTAATTACGTGCATCTATCATCTATATACGTTCCCTTAATTGCGTGCATCTATCAGATATATACGCTCCCTTAATTGCGTGCATCTATCAGATATATACGTTCCCTTAATTGCGTGCATCCTCTGAATCACGTGTGTTCCCTGTGCGTCTATTACTTTTAAGTATATGTTATCTGCGTGCGTACCCTCCTCACGCGCGTGCTTGAGCTTCTTCAAGTGCCGTACACTCTACAGCGTCTTACAGATAAAATAGTTTAAACACATTAAAATTATCACGGGGAACATTAATTATCAGTCGTGTGGTCAGAATAGTTCGAATTATCTGCCTGGCTGCTTATCTCTGTCTGTCTGTCTGTCGGTCTGTCTGTCTGTCTGTCTGTCTGTCTTTCTATATGTCTGTGTTTGTCTTTCTGTCTGTCTGTATCTGTGTCTGTCTATTTGTCTGGTCTTAGGTCAAAATAAACACACTTAGACTATCTGGAATGTCTGTCTTTGTCTGTCACCTGAAAGATAATATTATTTCTTATTATAAAAAAAAAAATATAATTATTTATTTTGCTAAGTCGTACACCCGAGGAAGGAACACCATATATGAGTGAAAATACAATATATGAATTATCTATACAGTAATATGATTAATTTGAACACCTGATTTACTAATTCATAATAATACCTTCAACAACATTTCTTTTGGTATATTTCTGAACACCATCGCTGAACAATCCTGTCTTAGCGAGATATTGTTCGAATATAGTATTTACAAATTGTCCGAAAATACTGTTGTACCATGTTCGGTTATTACGGACAGCGAGGCTTCAAACTCTGGTACGAATATTGGTTCGCGGTTTGCTTCGAAATGTTCCGAATTCACGTTCTGGGCAATTCGGAAACTTTGTATCCAATACTTGTTTATTTCCTGAGTTATCGTGTACTGTATGTTAGTCTTTATTATTTGGTGTGTGTTATTATTACTATATTTTTGTTATTTTTCTTCTCAGTATTAGTTTTATTGTTACTATTATCATTATTACTGTCAGTCTTTATTTTCGTTGTGTTATCGTTATTATTATTATTATTATTATTATTATTATCCTGTTTCTTTTCTGTCATTAGTGTACA